TAGCAGTTACAGTTGTGAATTTTAATCAAGTATTCTGTGAGGGGCTAGGCAAAAAGGGTGCAAATTCAAGCCCACACTGAGCAACTTATTAGTAAGACTATCTCAAAATTTAAACAATGGGCAGGGAATGTCGCTCAATAAAGGCCTGGGGTTTAAGTGTTAGTACCATCCCCTGTACCCAGATACCCAGCAGGGCATTAATCTTTTTTGCTATTTGCAATATAAAATTAAATGTTGTGCCAAGCATGGTGGCACACACAATTCCAGCTACATGGCAAATTGAGGCAGAAAGATCACAAGTTCAAGGCTATCATCGGCTACTGATACCCTGCCTCAAAATAAAAAAATGTTGGATGTATAGCTCAAAAGTAGAGTGCTTTGGGCTGGGGAGATAGCTTGGTGGTCTAAGCACCTGCCTAGCAAGTACAAGGTCCTGAATTTGATCCCTGGTACCACATACTATGTCAGCCCTGGAACCCCAGGCATTGTAGCCCATTCCTTTACTCCCAGCACTGGGAAGGCTGACACAGGAGAATCACTAAAGGTCTACCCTGCATAGGGAGAGCCTATATAAAAAAAAGAATAAAGTGCTTACCTAGCATGTACAAGGCCTTAGCTAGGTTCAATCCATAGAATCATACCAAAAGAGGTGTGTGGAGGGGGTGTTCTTAATGTTTGTTTGTTCATTTTTGATACCAGGAATCCTCACAATCAGGCAGGCATTGTGCCACTGAGCTGTATCCCCCAGCCCTTTTTTTTTGTGATAGTGTCTTGCTGAGTCACTAAATTGTGCAAACTGAATTGAAACTTGGGGTCCTCCTGCCTCAGCCCCCAAGAGTGCTGGGATTATAAGGATGTATCACCATCCCTGACCATAGTGGTTTTGTTTTTTTGGTTTTGTTGTTGTTGTTGAATGTAACTCAGGACCATGTACTTGCCAGGCAGGCACTTGTGCCTCTAAGTTATACCCCTGGCTTCCAAATATAAATCTATCTTTTTGGGGGGGTTGGATGTACCAGGAATCAAACTCAGGACCTTGTGCTTACCAGGCAGGTGATGTGCCACTAAGCTATATCCCTGACCCTACACAGTGTTTTGTTTTATATTTAGGATAGGGTCTGCATGGTCTCCCTACGTAGATTGGACTCATAGTGATCCTCCTGTTTTCAGCTTCCTAAGTGCTGGGATTATGGGTGCCCACTGCCATGCCCAGTCTCAGTCACTGTCTCAGCATGCCTCAGGGGCAGGGCTGGGCACAGCACACTGAGGATTGAACCCTGGCTACTGTGTTCTGCCTAAGAAGGCTCTTTAGTCTGCTGAACTATCAGGCCAACCCCACAGTGTTATTTATTTATTTATTTGGTGGAACTGGGCATTGAACTCAGACCCTGGCACTGGCCAGGGTCTGAGCCATCTCTGCAGCCCCCCACAGTGTATTTTATTTTATTTATTTATTTATTTATTTTTAAAAATTTTATTTATTTGTGTGGGGGGGCAGCTCAGCCCACCAGGGGGCGGGGCTGGCTGGCATGTGGTGCTGGGGGATTGAACCGTGGTCCCTATGTTTTGCTAAGCTTGTTCTAAGTAGGTGCTTTAGACCACTGAGCCATCTCACCAGCCCCCCCACAGTGTATTTTAAAACAATTTTTATTTTATTTTATTTTTTTTTTAATTTTATTTATTTGTGCGTGTGTGTGTGGCCAGCTCAGCCCACCAGGGGGCGGGGCAGGCTGGCATGTGGTGCTGGGGGATTGAACCACGGTTCCTGTGCTTTGCCAAGCCTGTTCCAAATAGGTGCTTTAGACCACTGAGCCATCTCACCAGCCCCAACAATTTTAATTTTAAATAATTAAGGAGACCTAGTATTTTGTTGATAGCAGAAGATTAGCAGCTAGTCATCTACTTCATTTGGCTTTAATGCTTGCTCCCAGAGAGCTCTGTGATTATATACACATATTATTATGTGTTATGTGAGTGTCAAATCCTTCAGTTCTGCAAGGCATGATGGCACCTGCCTATAATGCTAGCGCTCTAGAGGCTGGGGCAGGAGGATTGCTACTAGTTTGAAGCCAGCCTGGGCTATATATATAGCTCAACCCTATCTCAAAAACCTCAGTCATGGGTATGTACTCTCTTTGAGTGTAGCTCTCCATGAAGAGATAGCACAGTCTATAAGAAAGAAGTCCAGGTCTGTCAGATGGAGAGTGATGTTACTTTATCTATAATGGGTGAGATAATTAAGGCTCTGTAGGCTGTCAATCCATTCAGCACTGGTAATTAATTCAGTTAGTGGCTCAAACTGGAAGCAAATTGAAAACTTTTCCTGTGTTAACTTAATTTTTTCCTATTGCCTGCCGGGCACATTTAATTAATTACCTTTATAAAATTCTGTCATCACTACCACCTTTTCCAATAATTGGAGGCTTTAAAATGCTTTTATCTGGATTTAGTCTAATTGTCCTATTCTCAAAGCATTTTAAAAACCTACCTTGAACAGTGCCTGTATAAGTTATTTCTTCATTGAATAAATGCCTTAGCTTGAAAGCAAAAGCCGTATGATTTCTGGTTGTTGGCCTCGGTATACACGATTAAAAGCATTTCCAAGCTGATTTTGTTAATAGAGACAGCTTTTCGGGATTTATTGTGAATGTTTTCTTTATCAACAGGACAAAGCAGGACCTCATAAGGAAATCTACCCCTATGTCATCCAGGAACTGAGACCAACTCTGAATGAACTGGGAATCTCCACTCCAGAGGAGCTGGGCCTTGACAAAGTGTAACCCACAGGTGATGTCACTAAGATGGCAGAAGAGCCCGGGAATGGGGGCAGGCAGCTCCTGAGAGCTGTTCCTGCTGGCGGGTGTTTGGGGTGGGGTGCGGAGTGAGCACTGCAGTGATGCTAAGTTGAAGGAACTGAAATTGTTCTCAGTTATAATTGAGCCAGGTGTGCTAGTGGTGCACACCTGTAATCCCAGCACTTGGGAGGCTGAGGCAGGAGGATCCCTGCGAGTTCAAGAAGCTAGCCTGGGGTACCAAGTGAGTCCAGGCTGGCCTGGGCTACATAGCAAGACCTTGTCTTATAAAAGAAAAGAGGGCCGGGGAGATGGCTCAGTAGAATAAGCGCTTCCCTGGCAAGCGCAAGGGTCAGAGTTTAATCCCTGGTTCCGCCAAAAAAAGAAAAGTTGTTGGTGTTCTCTTAATGGGAATAAAGACCAGGAAAAGTCTCCTTTATACAAACTGTCTCCAACGTAGAGAATAGTACAGCTAATAACCAGTGAGCCCATTTGCCTATGCCTTCCTTTTTAGATGTTGTTTTGTTACATTTCCTTAGTTTTCTCCCTATGAAGTAACTGGTTTCACATAGAATTGGAGTCTTTTGTGTGTCCACAGTTTTTCATAGCAGAATTATGTTAATTTTATTAATCTGATACTTGGATTTTTGCATGCCTAAGTGAGAACTTAATGGTCAAGTAAATGTCCACTATTGAGTAATGACTCACTAATACTCAGTGGAAAGACAGATTGAGTAATAAAAACAGTCACAGAATTGGTTCAACAGTGAATAGGTCCATAAAATGTTTTATAAAACAAGATATTAACAGACTCATACAGCATGCACAACTTTTAGTGTACCAAGCACTGCTGTGTTATCTGTGATTTTTCCAACTTTACTGTTACTGAAGAGGAAACTGAGGCCCCTGGCTCTGAGAAGACCTTCCTAAGGGAAAAAGGAGACTTGGACACTTTTTTTTTTTAAAGGGAGGAACTAAACTGTCAAAAGTTTCAAAACTGTGGATTCTAATTATTTAAGGAGTTAATGTGAGAGTCCTTACAAGAAAAGCAGCACTAGTGACCCTAGGTAAGTAGTAAACACCTATTGAAACCCTGTCTGAAACACTCAGCAGCTGGAAAAGTGGCCCATCCCAAGCACACCAAACTCAAGGAATCCCCCGCTTCATTCTTCATCCTGACAAACTGAGCAGAAATGCCTGAGCTGTCGGATCTCTTCGAAGCAGTGCCTCCCCCTGCTTTTGCTTGCTTTCTTGTTTTTGCTTTTATAACCAGGGTCTCAAGGTCTTGCTATGTAGTTCAGACTGGTCCTGAACTCAGTGTATAGCCCAGGCTGGCCTTGAACTCATAGCAGTCCTGCCTCAGCCTCCCCAGTGTTGGGATATGCCACTGTGTCATGCCTGGTGCAGTGGGCTTTTCACCTTTGTTTCCTCCCAAGCACAAACTCCCTGAAAGCTGGGCAGCTAATTATAATAATAATACAAGCAGGGCTTTTAATGCTGTTACAGATTTTTGTATCATACTTGGAGAATGCTAGGTAGCCAAAGAGAGGATATGCTGTTCTTTAAGTTCTTGTCTGTAGTTATGTTCTTATAAGAAATTCTTATGGGGCTGGGGCGATGGCTCAGTAGAATAAATGCTTCCCTGCCAAGTGCAAGGGCCTGAGTTGAATCCCCTGTTCTGCAAAAAAAAGAAAGAAATTCTTAAGAGGTTGCTTAAAGTTTTTCTGTTATTCCCAGCAATCCACAGGGTCTTTGGTACATAGGATGTATTTTAGCTGCAGTGATGTTTCTTTTTCATTTCTTTTGTGAGATTAGGTCTTACTATGTAGTCCAGAGTGCCCTCAAACTTGAGGTAGTCCTCCCACCTCATTCTCCTGAGGACTGGGATTTTAGGCATGCGCCACCACGTCTGGCTACCTTTTTTCTTTTCTTTTTTTCTATAATTTTATTGAACAAATAGCAATGAGACAGTTTCAAGTCAAATTGGTAGGACAGTTCCAATAATTAACACATTGCATATATTCTTCCTAGTGGTTATTTGCTGCACAAGATGCAGACATGGTATCCTATTTATAATCACTATTAGAACAAATCCTTCTATTCATTAAGAGAATGTAACTATATGTGTATCCTAACCACTTTGAATACACAGATACAAAATGGACATTCATCTGTATACCCTTTTTTGTTTAGTTCGTCATTTGAATATTATAGGTGTGTTAACTCAGCAAAATATTCTAAAAGAGTCCAGTAGTCCATAATAGTATTGGGTCTTCCGCTTGACTGGCAATGTC